TCCCCCCCTTTCCTCTGGGCCCCCTTTAAGCCCTGACCGGCCGCACTCAGCTCTGCCCGCAGCCTCCTCTTCTCCAGGCTGAACACCCCCAACTCTCCCAGCCTGGCCTCAGAGCAGAGGGGCTCCAGCCCTCGGAGCATTTTTGATCAGACAGGCAGGCGTGCTGGCTGCAAGCTGAGCCACCACCGGGCTTCCCTTCGCTCCCCATCTCAAAACAAAGAGCGGAGACTCAGTTGGGATGAGCCCCGCTGCTGCAGGAGACTTGTGGCTTGGGGATGGGGAGAGCAGAGGGGGCAGAGAGCAGAATGCAGCCCTCACCACTCGGGTTAAACACGGAGCCCTCCGCCCCTCGCCCTGTGCAGCCCCCAGGCTGGGTTACTCACCGGCCACGCTGCATTCAGGCTCCATGAATCCCCCCAGGGTCTGATCCCGGCTGCGCTGGGGGGACCTGCCAGCCTGGAAGGGCTGGGACCATGCCAATCTCTTGCGCCCACCTCAGGGCCTTTTAGAGGAAGCCACCAGCTGGGACTCTGGGCTGTAGATGCTCCTCGTCCCTCTCCTCTCCCATTTCAGACTGAAGCACTTTCCCCTGGCTGTGTTATCCACTTTATCCCCATTTCTTTTCCAGAGGCATCTTGGGACTCTCAATGCAGACGGATACACACCAGACCCTGTAGGTGAGCATCTTTGAAAGCTCTCTCCTCCTAACAGGAGGAGAGAGGACCTGGGGATGCCACAGGAACCACGGGGGTTACCTGACACATCCGTATCACCTTCTGGTCACAGAGCTGTTACAAAGCCCCTTTCTTACAAAGGCACCCAGGACCATCTCACCCATTTGAGGGCAAAACCACCCACATCCAGCACCCAGTAAATCCAGCCCTGGCCCATTCCCATCATACCCAGTATATCAAGCCCTGGTCCATTCCCCATCATACCCAGTAAATCAAGCCCTGGTCTATTCCCCATCATACCCAGTAAATCCAGCCCTGGCCCATTCCCATCATACCCAGTATATCAAGCCCTGGTCCATTCCCCATCATACCCAGTAAATCAAGCCCTGGTCTATTCCCCATCATACCCAGTAAATCCAGCCCTGGCCCATTCCCATCATACCCAGTAAATCCAGCCCTGGCTCATTCCCATCATACCCAGTATATCAAGCCCTGGTCCATTCCCCATCATACCCAGTAAATCCAGCCCTGGCCCATTCCCCTACCCAGTAGATCAAGCCCCGGCCCATCCCCCATCACACATTCCCATCATACCCAGTAAATCAAGCCCTGGCCCATTCCCATCATACCCAGTAAATCAAGCCCTGGCCCATTCCCATCATACCCAGTAAATCAAGCCCTGGCCCATTCCCATCTTACCCAGTAAATCAAGCCCTGGCCCATGGTCTTCCATCCTGCCTACGAAATACTCAGTGTATTTGGTTACATTTCAGTGGGGCGAAGTCATGCACGTGCCCAGGTCCTGCAGGGTCTGATGTGTGGGGTGGGAGTGCTCAGACACCTCTCCCCATCCTGGCTCCTTCAGCAGCTGTAATGAGGAGAGGCCGTGGGTTGTGAAAGGAAGGGAGATGCCCAGGAGGGAAGCTTCCCAACCAGTGATGGAGAGAGGGATGGGGAAGGATATGTTGTTTACAGCTAAAAAGCCCTCTATCTCTCGGGAAGGTGCAGGAAAGTCACGCCTGCTACCCATGGACACCAGTGTCTACGAGAGCCCATACAGTGACCCCGAAGAACTGAAGGATAAGAAGCTTTTCCTGAAGCGGGACCACTTGATGATCGATGAAGTGGAACTGGGGGCAGGAAACTTTGGCTGCGTCAAGAAAGGAGTCTACAAAATGAGAAAGTGAGTGCCGCCCTGAAGGATGCCGAGGAAGCAGGAGGAGGGTGCTCCAGGCTGAGCTTAGATGTGTCCCCAGCTCTCCCATTTCTAGACAGATGGACCCTAAAGTGATAATGAATGGGGTGGAGGGATAAGAGATACTCTGGAAGGTCAGTGATGACTTTCCATAGACTTTCAGTGACAGCCTCGTTGCCCTGAGAGCACAATCTGCACTGCATGCTCCCAGGCAGCAGACTGCCACTTCTGAAGGCATTTGCTGGGCTCAGAGGCGGCAAGTCCATGCTTCTGAGGTCATCTTGATCCATGTCAGGGCAAAGGAGCAAGGCTGAGGAGATATGCGATCCTTGGTTCTGTCACTGGTTGTCTATGAGTCCACAAAGATGGCTTCTGCCCACTTTGTGCCTGAGTTTCCCCCTTGAAAAACAGCGGTGATGATGCAGAGCTCAGTGTGCCTTCAGACCTACGGGTGGCCAATGCTGGCCTACACTTACAAGGGCGAGGTGATCCTTTTCAGTTTGGCCGTCTAGCAGGTCTGGATACCAGAACTGCGCAGGGCTCTGCCAGAACAGGCTATTGAGATTGCCATTGAGATCAAATGGTCCCATGTGAGAAGTGGTTTGCATTCCTGGCTGTGATACGAGTCCAGCCACCGTTTAATTCATCCCATGTGTGTTCCTCTCACACCCTGTGCAGGAAGCAGATCGATGTGGCCATAAAGGTGCTGAAGAGCAACAACGAGAAAACAGTGAAGGATGAAATGATGAAGGAAGCGCAGATCATGCATCAGCTGGACAACCCCTACATTGTCCGCATGATTGGGGTCTGCGAGGCAGAGTCCCTGATGCTCGTGATGGAGATGGCTTCTGGAGGGCCACTCAACAAGTTCTTGGCTTCCAAGAAGTGAGTACTGAATAAAATGTGGCTGGCTGATTTTCTGCACTTCTCATTAAACTCTGTTCTGCCAGAAGAGCCTGGCTTTGTAGGTGGAGGGAAGCTGATAAAAGCCGAAAGAGATGTCTTTTCATGTGAGGTCGTAGGGGTGGATGCTTCTGGAGCAGAGATGTCCACATTCATTCTCCCTTTCAGCTAGAAAGCTTGGAGGGGACTGTGGTGCACAGAGCAATGGCAGGTCCTTCATTACTGCATTGTCCTTTCATCTTCCCCAGAGACGAGATTGCAGTCAGCAATATTGTGGAGCTAATGCACCAAGTATCCATGGGGATGAAGTACTTGGAGGAAAAAAACTTTGTCCACAGGGACCTGGCAGCCAGAAATGTCCTGCTGGTCAACCAACATTATGCCAAGATCAGTGACTTCGGACTCTCGAAGGCTCTTGGTGCTGATGACAGCTACTACAAGGTAAGTGCAAGCACAGCAAAGGATCCTGGTAGGTAGCAGGAGCCCCCTAACTGGGGGGCTGAGATCCCCAGAGGCAAAGGGGTCTGGACTCTCCCCAGGAGCCTCGCTGCATGACCACATCACGCTCCGGCTGGCCTCACTGCTGTGACATTAAAAGGGGCTTTGCAAAGCTCTGCGTGGCAAGGAGGAAATTCAGATGGATGCAGGGGGATGCAGTACAGTGGGATGACAGGAGAGAGGAGCCAGGAGAGGAGCCAGAGCAGAGAGAAGGGAAGAGAAGGTGACGAAGAGCGAGCCAGGGCTGATCTTCCCAGCAGTGTGCACCAGTGCACAACTGCCCTGAGCCCTGGGGCTGGGGGCAGGAGGAGGATGGCACCGCGGGACAGCATCCTGCACCCAGGGGTGGCTGAGCAGGGCCAGTGAGACAGCAAGGCCTGGGCTGGGGTTTTGGGGCTTAGGGCTTTGAGCTTCCATCCCAGGGCAAGGGGATTTTTTTTTTTTCAGCAGCATTGGATTGCATTTAACAGAAACATTTAGCAGAGCAGAACTCCAGTTCAGCTCAGAGCAGTCTGTGTTTCAGGGTGTAAATGCTCCTCTTTGCTTTGCTCCAGGCCAGGACAGCGGGCAAATGGCCCTTGAAATGGTATGCTCCTGAGTGCATCCTCTATCACAAGTTCTCCAGCAAGAGTGATGTATGGAGTTACGGCGTGACCATGTGGGAGGCCTTCAGCTACGGGCAGAAACCATATAAGGTGAGGCAGAGCTGAGTCCATCATAGATGGGTGCCACAGTCTGGTCTCCCACTCTAACGGGCTGACACACGCTGAAAATACACTTTGTGTTTCCTTGAGTGGGTACTCTTTCCGCTGTTGAACAGAGGGGTGAGGAGACAGGCTCACCTCCGCTTTACAAAAGGCACAGATCAGATGGTTTGGATCCTGCAGCTTTGCGTTCATTTAAGGGAGAAAAAAACAGAAAACAAAAATCAATTTGTGTTTGAACCAAAGCAGATCTTCTCTTTGACCCTTCTGCTCACTTGCAGAGCTGAAAAATCAGTTGCTCAGCCACTGCTCTGCTCAGTCTCGGGATGGGGTCTGCAGGCTGGGCTGGCCACAACGCAAGACACCACCGCTGGGGGGTGGAAAACGGTGGGTGCGGTGCATGGCTCCAAAGCATTACCCCGGGCCCAGCTCTAATCTGTCTCTTCTAATCCTGTTGCCAGCTCCAAAAACATTAAAGCGTTTTCCCACTTGATCCTATCCTAGAAAATGAAAGGACCAGAGGTCATCAGCTTCATAGAGCAAGGGAAGCGCATGGACTGCCCCACGGACTGCCCAGCAGAGATGTATGCCCTCATGCAGCAGTGCTGGACCTACAGGTAAGGCTTTCACGAGCTCAACTCTTTGCTGGGCAGCAGGTCCAGCCGAACAGCACACACCATCTGGAGAGTGGCAACACAAAGCAAATGGTGTCTCCTGCCTTGATCTCATTCCACAATCGATGGTGACTGATGGTGATTTCTTTATTATCATCCCCCTCCATTTGCCTCTACCAACTGGAAGATGTCAGAGCCTCTGTGCCTTTGCCCCTCTCCATCCCAGAAAAGTCTCAGCTGCCCTCCTAAACCCTGGTACAACTGAGCTGCTCTTCTTCCCTAGGTTCTTCTGTGCTTGGTATCTTCTCATTTCATCAGTCCACTTTTGTC